ATTTTGTTCAAGTAAAGTGTCCAAGCTCCCAATTTTTCACTAAACACTCAAGTGCTGTAGGGTTTTTCTTCACATTTAGGCAGTTTTCCTGCTTTAGAGACTGTGCCTGCTAAGACTAAAAGCACAAACTTTATGAAAAGAAAGTGAATGCAAAAAAAAAAAAAGGAAAAATAAAATCTAGATGAGTCTAGTTGCCTATTGGGGAGGTTTTCAAGATCTAAGTTTGCAGTTGGTAAGTTGCAGCTCTCATTTCACTGCCAAAGCAGCCTGTCTTATTATGCCAGCATAATGGGCCTGTCATAATCAGTTGCATATAATGGGCTAATGCTTTTATTCCCAACCATATTATTCTTTTGATAGAAAATAATGAATAATGTAAAGGCACACAGTTGTATTTGGATGAAACTATTGCATAGTTTGGCTATGGCTACACTAGGAAAATTTGAGTTCTTAAAGTGTTTGCCAGTATGTTTGCATTTAAAAAAAAAATTGTGAACAAGATTTAGACCAAAAAGCACAAGGCTAACTGCCTATAGCAAGTACATTTTTATACAGGTAAAGCTTTATACTTATGTAGTGTATGAAGTGTGTTTGTAAAAACTGTTTGTGTATTTTGCAGGATAGTTTTGGCTTCCCTGTCTACATACAGTCTTAATGCTGGGGAGCTGCAGGGCATATTACATGAGGACATCTTTAGGCCTTTACTTGTCCACATATTTTTTTTCTATCAAAGTTTAAAAAAAAAAAAAATCAAAGAAATGTTTACCATCATACTAGAATCCTGGCTGGTGTCCTAGAAGTTCATTGAAGGCAGAACAGTGTTTTGGCATCAAATTGTGTCTTTGAGATTCTAAAGATTCATAGAGTTAGGCTGGGGAAAAGAAAACTTCCAAATTAGTCATACTCTTTTTTACTTTTATGCTTAAATTCTTTGAAAGAATCAATTTTAAAAAAACGTTTTGAAATATGTTGACTAAGGAGCTTTTTTTATCTTGGGCATATCATTTAGCTATAAGCATATGGTTGATTGGCTTGTTAGTTTGAATGGGAGCTAACTTTGCCTGCATGAAAGTGCAGCTGCAATGCAAAGTTACTTGTTTTCTGTGACAAAGGTGCATAAATACAACCCCCACATGTAGATAGGATTCTTTTTCCCCCCCATCTCACGCTTGCAGTGCTTGAATAGATGACTCCCCTGCATTTCATTTTTCTGGGAATACTCTTTAGGAAAGTGACCCCTTTAAAGCATTTGTCTAGCTAGTGGCCCTTGTGAAAACCTTTCTTATTTGGGTCAGGCCATGCCATTTCCCCTGAGGCTGTCAAAACTGTTCTTGGTTTTTCTGAAAGGGATAAATCTGAAAAGTAAAGCAGTCATGTTTACCTCTTTTGCTCTGCTCTTTTTGCAGTCAGGCTTGCTGTGTTCTTAGTTGATTGTGATAAAAGCCATTTTTTTTCTTCTTTTCTTCTTTTCCGTTGTTGATTATTGAACACTCATTCCTTAGGGAAAATATTGCTTTAAATAAATTCTTGGATATCTTGAAACTGGAAATATGCTTTATAAAATCTAAAGAGGCAATTTTTTAAGGGTCATGCCTGTTTATTTACAACAGTAATGCAGACAGGACTCGACAGCGTTCAGGAGAATAACCAGTCATTGATTATTCTTTAGTAATTGGATCCTGCTTGGCAGATGAGGTTCAGAGTGAGCGTGAATGTTCTCTGTGGAGAATGCTGCTAACTACGTATGTAAGTGATCTGCCTCTGTGCAGGGACCTCGGGCACTTAGTCAGGAGAAGCTTGATGCTGATAATACAAAGCTTTTTTGCTATCCTCAGTGGTATTTTTGTATTCCTTTCTTTATCAGATGCCCTTAGGAAAGGATCAGTCCTAATCAATATTGCTTCTCAATTGGTTCAAACAGGCAGAAAAATCAATGAGCTGAACTAATGACATCTATTTTTATTTTCTTTTGGAAGACTGAGGAACAATTATAAAATTTTAAACAGATGCTTCATTTGGTTGTGGAAATGGTAGAAGAGGGGTGTGGATTTGTGTTGTTTGGGGGTTTTATCTGTTTTGAAAATAAAAAATTTTTACCCAAACACAGTATAGATCAGGAAACTTCTTTAGAGCATGTTGCACAGCTTGAGATTTACTGGGTATGTACCATGTTACTTACACAACTAACTTCATGTTGTTGTAGTAACCAGACTGCTTTGAAATTCAGGGTCCAGTGAAAATGTCAAGAACTGGAATGCTTAGGACATTTTGGAGAGTGGCAAATGTCATGAAGTGAAGGTCAGAGGTTAAGTCTGGAAAACATAGACCCTTTTGAATGACTTTGTAAAATGAATTTAAGAGTTTTTACTGGTTGGTTTGTTGGCTTTTTTTTCCTCTGTAACCTCTCTCCTGACAAATAGGGGAACAGTGGAACTAAGCACCCTCCCACTCCTTTTTCTGGAGGCATCTGGATACCATTGCGTTTCCAAAATCGCTGCCAATGATCAGGAGATGCTGGGGGGGTAACAGAGAGGGTTGTCTTTAATGTGAACGGGGCACAGTTCCTGATTGTGTTTGACAGCTGCTCTGAGCAAGCAGGGCTGGACTAGGTGACCTCTGGAGGTCCCTGCCAGCCTCACTGGTCCTGGGAGTCTGTGAGTGGGACCTTGTGTCAGCCACTATCACAATACTTCCTCCCTTCCCCACAGACTTCATAAAGAGATTTTCCTTCAGTCCTGGGTATTCTTGGTCAAAGAAGGTCAAATCTTGGGCTAAGAGCAGAGTTGGTTTCGCTTCTTCTTTTGGACAGTGTTGGTTTGGAGGAGCTGCTTTGCACGAAACACTGCCCAGGGTTCCTGCACGGTGTTCACCACTAAGACTGCAATAAATGTTTTGATAGGTATCATTACTAAATTCAGATTTATACTGTGTAAGCCAGGTATGCTGATGGTCATCATGTTTTCTGCAAAACAATAAAATCTAAACTCTTTGAGTGACAAAATTAGCAAATTTTGAAACAGACCTCAAGCAGATTTCCCTCTGCATGTATGTTCTGTATAGTTTTGTCACTCCCTACCAGAGTATCTGATTTCAGCATGAGTTTTAGATGAACAATTCTGATTCAAAGTCTATTTTATTGTAAGAATAGCAATGAAGAAATTGAGGGGGAACTGTTTCTATGCATTAACATTTAAAACAAACTTAGATCTTCAAACTTTTGTATGAAATAACACTTTTGGGCCCTCCTTTAGTTTGTAATGGGGCAACTCTTTCACATCTCACTCTGTTTAATTCAAATATTAGGTTTTTCCTGCTCGAATTAGTCATCAAACAAGTAAAAGCAAAATTTCAGTAGTGATATGGTGCAACATCATTTATCTGGAAAAATGCTTATAGGAACTCTGGATTTTCTGCTAATCCCAATGCATTGCAAGATAGAAGAGATTTAGTCCCTTACTGAGAGGTGTGTGTTAGCCTCACCTTTCACAAGTCACCACACCAAAAGAATCAGCTTCAAAGATAAAATGTAATCAAAAAATACATTTGTTTATGAGTGAGGATATCCAGGCCTTAGAAGAAAGGTGAGGAGAGTCAGGAGCAGTGGTCTCTGCACATAGTCCAGTGAGCTGCTGTAGCCCTAGAAGGCAACAGCACTGGAGAGTGGTTCCTGCCATCATCCAGTCCCCAAGCAGGTGTGTGTGACAACCTTGGGAACCTGTAGATGCACATGGATTTGTCATTGAGAGCAGTTTGAGAGGAGGAGCAGTTCTGGCTTGGGAGCTGTGAGGCCGAAGGAGAAACTTTAACTAGGTGGCACCTCGTTTGTTTTGGTGTAAAAGTGACTCCAGTCAGCAGTTTCTGTCTTAGCATCATCTGACAATGAAATATGAATATTGGCAGATGAATATAAGCCAAACATCCCTGCTGTCCTGCCAGCCAAGAGCTGTGCCTTGCCCCTTTTTATTGGAGAGACTGCACTATGTAATGACTGTGGATGGAAGAAATCAAATCCCTTGCTTCTGGAGGGTGTTGGTTCCATACTGCTCTTAAAACACTGTCTGATTTGGCTAACATTAAAAGCAGAATGTCTTTAGGTGTGTGTAACACAGTGGATGCTGCTCTGTGAGGAAAGCTGTGTGCAACAGCCAGGAGTGAAGTGCAGTGAATGCATTTTTACTGCCTGCTACAAGTATGTTTTCTGTACAAACAGTTCTGACTCCAAGTCAGGATTTTCAGAGTAAAACAAGGCTAAGCATAGTGTCAGCTGTGGAAAAACTATGTTCTCCTAAATCACCAACATTCATTTCAGTTTCACCGAGGAAATCTAAATAATGTGAGGTCAAACAATATATAATGCACTTGTTAAGTGTTTAGAATGGTTTTTGTATTTACTGCATGACAAGGGAACAAAAAGGGTAAGGTTCAACTGCATTGTTAGCTTGAAGTTTTTTAAATGTCATAATTTTTCTTGTTCTGTTCATTAATCTCCTCTCTCTTGTCTGCATTTGCTTTTTTTTTTATTTTTTTTTGGACAATTTTATTCCATGTGTTTATGAATGTAATATAAGTCTGGATTTCTAAGTATGTGCTAAAACCTAATGTCACACTATAAACTCTTACCAGTTTTTATCAATTATGTTTATATTGTGTAATAGAAGAGGTGTTACATTGCAAACTAAACAAAGTAGTATGATTTTTTTGTTTAAAATGTAAATATGAGTTGATTCTTGCAGATGTTTTCAGCTGAAATGGTTATGGGTTTTTTGGAGGCTCCAGCCAAACTTGCTCTGCCTCTCTGAATTACACTATAGTATTTACTCTGAACACTAATTTTCAAAAGTCAACATTTTTTTGAACTCTTAAGACCTTCACTGAAAGCCCAGTAAGTTTTTATAAATGCCAAGAGCAGTATGTGTGGTTACTAGTTTGTTAGCCTGGTATATTAGCAGCTGAGCTATTACAGAGCTTAATTGTACTTTTTCCTCTGTATTTTTTTGTAGTCTAGTCTGCTTCGGTCTGATATGGGGCTTGGGAGTCCAGGTCAGCTGTCATCCTCTGGAAAACCTGGAACAGCCTACTACCCATTTTCGGGCACAAATCAGCGCCGGAGACCACTTCATGACTCATCAGCTCTCGGTGAGTAACACAGAGTTTTTTAACTTTTGCTCGTGATATTTTTCTGCAGTCTTTATTATTTCCTTTGACAGTTCATTTTATATACTGGAGGTTGCTCTGTACTGAGCTATTGAAATTACACCAAAGTGCTATGTGAGAGGAAAACTGGAATTATTCATGTTTTCTTTGAGACACTAGCTGGGATTCAACACTGGTCAGTATGGCTTATAAAACAAACAAGAAGCTCTAATAAAACCCTTAATTGCAAAAGCAATAATGACAGATGGATAGGAGCTGATGACCAGCTGAGTGCCCTTAACCCATGCCATCATTAACTCCTGGAAATGCCTGACCTTGAGGTCATTACCATTATTTAGTAAGGGAAAGACACAAAGGGGAAACAATTATCCTTTTATATGCTAAAAGTAACTTTATTCAGGGCAATATATAGTTCATTGTAATTGGTTCAACATGCCTTTAAAGTTCTTAGCAATTGGAGACTAGTAGCTTATCCTAAAATCAAACTACCTTGCAGAATATGTAGGCAGGAATTTGCTTAAAAATTTTTATAATCCTATGACAGTATTAATATTTTAGTCTGGGGATACTTAGAGGTAAATGGAGTTTTTGTACTTGGCCATAGACAGATAATATAGCTCTGTTCTGTAGTTCCTGCTGTAAGACTATTGTGAATAATTGGGAGTGCAAATTACAAAAATTCTTTTTGGTATGAGGGACTGTAACTTCATATTCTAGTTTACCATATATTCCACTTATATGGTTATGTATCCAGTTATATAGCCTTATATTCTAGTTACCATATATTTCAGTGTTAGTAGGATAGGTCATTAAGATTTCTCTAGCTATGTTTGATTTATTTTTTTATTCCTGTCATGTTGTATAGCACTTCTATTCCATAATAAACTCAGAAGTTGGAGCCATGTAACTTAAGCCATTCTTTACCCAAAATAAGATTTTCATCAAATGCGAATTGCTTCTCAAAGTAACTTTAATATTGACCAGAACTGCAGACTTCTTGGGCGATAAAATAGTGCTGAACATGCCTGAAATTGTTTTTTAAGTCTTTAATTGTAAAAAAAAAAAGGCTTTGGAACTTAATCTTTTGTATCATAGAATCATCAAATCATTTAGATTGGAAAAAATGTCTAAGACCATTGAGTCCAACCCTTAACCCAGCACCTTAACCCAGTCCATCACTAACCATGTCCCCAAGTGCCACATCTATACATCTTTTAAATCCCTCCTAGCATGGTGAGTCCACCACTTCCCTGGGCAGCTGTGCCAGCACTGCCTTCTTTTGCTGAAGAAATTTTTCCTAACATTAATCAAAACCTCAGTGCAACGTGAGGCCATTTTCTCTTCTAACGTGTGTGTATACATGTATTTTAAAATACCATTTTTGTATAACTTCTTACCTTGTTGTCAAGACAATCACTGTTTAGCTTGGGATTATGTGTCTTTACAAATATTGTTGTAAGTATTCATGTTACTCAGAATATGAGAACAAATGCAGCAGTTCTTCAGATCTTTCAGAAGAGGAACAGTCTTAGGAAAGTTCAGTGAAACTGTTTACTGCTTGAAAGGGTGTTTGAACTTTAATAGAAAGGAGTTGAGTTTTAAGATGGTGATGTTTTAGCCCACATTGAATCAGTTTTAGTGAGAAACCCCTTGTAATAGTGAGGTGCCATGGTTTCAAGTGACAGGGTTAGGGCAGGACTCTGGGTGTGCTGGGCAGGGAGGTTGTGGTGTGAACCACATGCTGATTGCTGTTACATACTTGCCTATGTGACTAAGTCAGTTTCTTGTGCAAATTATATAGGCTTTGGTAAGTTCCAGATATTATTAAATCAACCAGAATGAAGTGTGGCGTTTTCAGAGTAGTAGTATTGATTAATGAAGTGTGGCGTTTTCAGAGTAGTACTATTGATTTTTTTTCTTTGAAAGAGAAGCTCAAGGTGTATATAAACCTGTTCAAACTGGTAACTGTGATATTCCTATTTCTGTCATGGTTGAGTCTAGGGGACTGTAACCTGGGACATGGCAGG